CATACCTACATATTGCGAGTCTACATATTTCCATGATTTGGTATATCATACCTACATGTTGTGAGTCTACATATTTCCGTGACTTGGTACGATATCATATCTACATGTTGCGAGTCTACATATTTCCATGATTTGGTATGATATCATACCTACATGTTGTGAATCTACATATTTCCGTGACTTGGTACGATATCATACCTACATGTTGTGAGTCTACATATTTCCATGATTTGGTATGATATCATACCTACATGTTGTGAGTCTACATATTTCCATGATTTGGTACGATATCATACCTACATGTTGTGAGTCTACATATTTCCATGATTTGGTACGATATCATACCTACATGTTGTGAGTCTACATATTTCCGTGACTTGGTACGATATCATACCTACATGTTCAACATGTAGGTATGATATCGTACCAAATCATGGAAATATGTAGACTCACATATCGTACCAAATCATGGAAATATGTAGACTCACATACCTACATATTGTGAGTCTACATATTTTCATGATTTGGTATGATATCATACCTACATATTGTGAGTCTACATATTTCCGTGATTTGGTATGATATCATACCTACATGTTGTGAGTCTACATATTTCCATGACTTGGTACGATATCATACCTACATGTTGTGAGTCTACATATTTCCGTGATTTGGTATGATATCATATCTACATGTTGTGAGTCTACATATTTCCGTGATTTGGTACGATATCATACCTACATGTTGTGAGTCTACATATTTCCGTGATTTGGTATGATATCATATCTACATGTTGTGAGTCTACATATTTCCGTGATTTGGTATGATATCATATCTACATGTTGCGAGTCTGCATATTTCCATGATATCATACCTACATATTTCCATGATTTGGTATGATATCGTACCTACATGTTGTAGTACTTGATCTAATATCAAGAAATGGAGTAACAACCATTGGTACAGACTGAGGAACATTAAATCATGGGTTAAGTAAATATTTTCTGGTCCTTAAGAAATTCAGAATTGGTGATTGTGAAAACTGTGTAATTGTCCATGGACATAAGGAACGTTAGTCAACAACAAAAGTTATAACAAGATAAGCAGTAAGTAACTTCTTTGTGTGTATGATCATGAAGTTACCAGTTGTGTTTCTTCTCAACACATCAAAATGTCTGAAAATAATAAGGAAAATGGCTGTTGTTGAACATTCTGAGTCAGTACTTAAAGACATTGACAGGTGAAAGTTGAAAATGGAGACGTAGTGAACATAGTACATTCTAAATGTATTGAACAATGTATTTTAGTGTCCAGAAAATGCTTAAAATAATTTTGGGCCAGTTAGACATAACCCTGCTGGATCCTCCCACTAATCCTGGGCCCTGTTTAGAGGATTACATTTCTTAAGATTTGCATATCTTTTGATAATGATAAGATGATGTCATGTTTGTGTTGTAACATATCATCTAGCCATGATAAGGGTATTTGTTTGTTACATTATAATAATTGTTATATTCTGTGTTGTAGATGGTACTTGTTTTGTGAATGTCATGTTATAATAATTGTTATATTCTGTGTTGTAGATGGTACTTGTTTTGTGAATGTCATGTTATAATAATTGTTATATTCTGTGTTGTAGATGGTACTTGTTTTGTGAATGTCATGTTATAATAATTGTTATATTCTGTGTTGTAGATGTTTTGTGAATGTTATATTGTTATACATTGTTGTCGATGATGGTTGTTTGGTATGATGTGATATTGTTGTTTCAGGAAGCCCATGTGAACACATGCTACAAACATTTTTACTATTTCATCAGAGAGTTTGATCTTGTGAGTCGACGAGAACTAGAACCATTGGTAAGTAACCTCAAACTTATAAAGTTGTGCAAGTTTAAAGATCTATTTTACACATTCATGTTCATATATTTTTTCCTATAACCTACTCGGTATTTCTATGTGTATATATAGCAAATTAACTGTTTTAAATTTGTATAGTGTGTACATTTACAGATGTACGTATCTAACATAGTGCAGATAACTAAAGTTTTGGTGCAAACTAGAGAGACTGGGAATGGTAAAACAGTATTGATGGAAGTAGAACCTTGAAGTAACAGAGAAACAGCAGAACTATCTTTGTAAGCAACCGTTAGTTCTAAACTCAGTACAGGCTTTATCGTCAAGTCTAATTATGGATGAAGCAGTAGTCCTTGGCATTAATTACATATAACAGAAAATAAAAAATACATGTATGTACGAGTGGAAACCTCTTTTTAACCGACGAAGAATCACAAGCTAAAGTAGTTCATTGGTTATTATATTGTGTGGCTTGAAAGGCTTTTTATGCTTGGTCAGCTTTGGTGATTATTTTAGATCTAGAGCTAAAGCTGGTTAAGATTAAATATCTTTAGAAAAAATAAAGTATACAAGTAGTGACTGGTTGGTTGTTATGTCTTCAAACTACTATTTAAAATATATTTAAAAATATGTCAGATTTAAAGTATACTTTTTAATCATTATGGAGGGAGGTGTAAGAGTTGTTATTAGGCTTAAGGATTTTATGTGCTGCAGCAAAGAGCTTAGAAGTTTTGTTCAGTTAGGACTATGATTCTTTTATTTCAAGTGGTTAAATGGGTTATTATGATACTGATAGGCAGAAATGACGAGAAGAATTTGTAAAGATCAGCTTCAGAAGAGGTAAAGACAATCCTGGACGTTGACTCCTGCAGGATCACTCTTACCATAATGTTTAGTCTAGAATCTTCAGGTTGCATGGTAACACTTGTTAATTTGTGCACATTGTAATTCTGGTTTGAAAGTTATGAATTTGGTTGTATGTTAGAGATGTGTACACTGCTAGTGTTGATACCTCCTTTAGCTAAAATGCAGTGTGAGTAATCGGTTCTAGTCGTGCTCCGTACAGTCACTTCAATCTGTATTGTTCAGTGTTTATAGTTGTAATCAACTTGAGGGGGTTACTTGGATTAGTAACCACCAATAGGTGATGGCTTTATAAAAAATGATCTATTTTTATACTTTTAGAAGGTTTAAAACTGTCTTTCCATAGCTTCATGTATTGTTGTACCATTGTTTAAAAAACATCAAAGCAGTTAAGTCTGTGTAGTGCTACAATACAGCTATGCATTTCAACTACGTACAGGTAAATAATAAAACATGTCTAGAAGTGAATAGTCAAGCACTGAAGATGTCAAAAATACTACTTAAAATGGTCATTAAATTAGGAGTGAAAGTTGAAATCAGCGGAGGCAGAATCATTTCTTACGTGACACAAGATCTTACATCTTGGATCTCTAGCTATTATTCTGAGGTATATCGTGATCATCTTTGCACTTACAAAGATTTTAGGGATTGTTCTAATTCTGTGTTATTTTACTTATAAAACCCAGACGTCATGTTACAAGTATGATAGAACTTTAGTAGATATATATATTTTTAATTATATTGTTATGGATGATTCTCTGACTTTCTATCAGATATTTTCCAACTTGAATACTTTTATAAGGTGTATGTTCTAGATAATATTGTAAAAATAATCTAATGATTAGTAATTTTAATTTCTTTTGTACACAAAATGTGAACTTTAATCAAGAGTGTTTTATGGAATCATTTTGTGAATTTTAATAGTCTGTAATTCTTGCAAATTACCTGTGTTTAATATCAAATCTTGTTCTAGAATTCTTAAGAATTATAATTTTAAAATCTTCAATGGTATTAACATTTCTCTTAAGTTCAGCCATCATGTTGAATAAGTACATCACCTTTCTGTATCTACCTTTACCAGCCTTTTTTTTGAAAGGTGTTGCCATCCTCTTGAATAAGTACATCACCTTTCTGTATCTACCTATACCAACCTTGTTCTTGAAAGGTGTTGCCATCTTTTGGATAAGCACATCACTTTTCTGTATCTACCTATACCAACATTTTTGTGAACTCCCAAAAATAGAAGTTGGAAATGCGTTTAGATAAATAATTATAACACTGCTGCACTACTTGTATAGATTAACAATAAACTGAAACAGTTATGTTGTTTACATAAAAAGATGTTAAACATTGTATTGGAACAGTATTCAGTTTGTTGTATAAGATTTTTTGTTATGATGTGAATATTTTTTGAAAGTAAATGTTTAAAGAATATTTTTAGTGAGAGATATCACAATAAAGTAATTCTAAGTACTTTACATTTAATCCAATAAACTTGTGTTTGCTGATGGTTTGAGAATGGGAAGTTTACCTCCATAATCTTTATTACTAATCAGCATTTTGAAGTTCAATATTGACATGGTGTGATGAACCTTGATGTTTGTAGGTTGATTCGCAGCTGGTTTATGATTCAACATGTAATTTTTTTTCAGGCAGAAAAAGTCTGATTGAACAAACCTTAAGACTTTTTATTTTGCAGTATGAAGCTGAAATTATAATTTTTGAACTTGTAGTTGAACCAGTATTATAGACCGTGAACTCAAAGGTTTGTCCCATTGCTGCAACAGTACAATCACTTTGGGAAAGGCAATGAGACTGACAGACATAATGGCTTCATACTCATCTTCAGTTTCAAGGCTGATTTAACAAAAGAAAAGTTAAACCAATAAAGCATAAAAAAACACAACATTGAAACTAGGTTTAGCAGATGTGTGCTGAGAGGATACATTGTTTGCACAGGGCAATTGTTTTGAATATAAGACATATCAATATCACTGCTCCGGAGTGTCTTGGAGATACTACAATTCTCTCCCAGGTGAAAACCTTTTTTTGGGGAGTTTGGAAAAAGCTCAGTTGTTTTAGGTGGTGGGCATTGCCACATGTAGGACAGTTTGTTATACTGTCCAGAATAAATACAATTGTTTTGAAGTTGCTGTATTTACATAAAATGGTAATTTATTCCAGTGTTCATTAGTTTCTCCTGGTACTTATACTGTAATAGATCTCATTTTCTTATTTATAAAGCTTTTGTTTTCTTAAGAAAAAATAAACCAGGTGACATCTATCCATTGTTGTTGGATTTTTTTTTTTCAGCTTTGTGTTGTAGGACATAACAGAAAATTATTCTAATTTTTCAGGGTTTATCAACATTCGTAAGAGTTAAACCTTTCACGACCACCATGTATATTAAGATAACATTTTATTTATGCTTCATTGCTATGTAATATCGTCAGTTATACAACAGGGAAGAAGTTAAAATATGTTGTTAATTCAGTTTCAACTTGCAGAAACATTTGTGTTGTAAACCACGCGAATGTTAAAAGTTGGATTTATTTTTTGATGGTTATTAGAAGGCAGAAGAAGTTTTAAAACTAACTCAAAAATCAAGATGTTAAAAGTTGGATTTATTTTTTGATGGTCATTAGAAGACAGAAGAAGTTTTAAAACTATAACTCAAAAATCAAGATGTTAAAAGAATGATTTATTTTTTGATGGTCATTAGAAGGCAGAAGAAGTTTTAAAACTATAACTCAATGATGCCTGGTGAAATGGTGTTTTACTGTCACGTTCTACAGAGTACATGCTGAATGTGCCATTCTATTCACGCTCAGTTTGAAGCAGCAGAATTAGAAGATGTTATAAAACCATCTTTATGATTCACAACATGACTATGCTGGTCTTAACATCTTTCACTGAAAGTAGGCAACAGTATGAACAATCCCTGGTGGTTTCACTGAAAGTAGGCAACAGTATGAGCAATCTCTGGTGGTTTCACTGAAAGTAGGAAACAGTATGAATAATCCCTGGTGGTTTCACTGAAAGTAGGCAACAGTTTGAACAATCCCTGGTGGTGAAAGTGGGTTGTGTTCAGCTATACACAGTTGGTGAGATTTTTATCTACTTGCTTCAATGGGGCTTTTTTTACTTCTCAACCCCATTGGATGTCTAGGCAGCCTTTCCACCCGCTGGCTTATTTTTCCTCACATCACTAGATAGGACCTTCCCTTGAACAGATTGTCTAGATAAGAACTATTAACCTGATAGGACTTTTAACTGCCATATGTTTAAATGGAGGAGAGAAAGTTAAAGAAATCAACAAGACGTTTCATGTGGAGATAAAGAAAGGATTGTAAAACATGTTTAGTAAACACATTTGAATCTAACTAACATAGTAACAACTGTTCAAAAACGTTTTATTGATTTTAACATAATTAGTACACAATATTTTACATCGATTATCAGTGCAGGGAACAAGATCAGTTTGTTTAATCTATGCTCCAATTCTTGGAAAATAACTTAAACCTTGCCAGTACTTTAGTGTATATCTTGTTACACTATTTACGTATGTACTAATTTAACTGCTTCCATAACCCCGTTTCTGAATTTTAGTTAAAAAAAAGTAAGATGCTTGTCTCATAAGAAAGATGTCAGTGGTTTAAAGTCACAAAAAAACATCTGCCAAGGTTAAACTGTTTATCTGACAGTTTTTAAATCTATATATTTATTATAATGTTTAACCACCAAATCTGCTTCAGGAATTAAATGTGTTACTCGTTGGTCTTGGCTTTTGTTTAACAGTTAAATAAAAAACACAACAACATAGTCCAAATAATAACGATCCTCAATCATACTTGTAAACTTGTTCAGTGTTTAAAGGGAAAGCAGCTGTATTCAATACCTGACCCAACTACCTTTTGTAAAGGACTTTTCATTCCTTGGGTTACATTCAGATGAATTATTCCATAAAATGAAAATTTGAAGAAAACAGTGAAAATCCTTGAGAGTTTGTACAAATGAATCAATAAGGACAGTTTTTTTTCTCTCTCTTTATTTTACTGTGTGATATCTTCACTTATTAAAAGGCAATGAATAAGAGACAACTTAATATCTGACTGGAAGCACAGAATAATAGAGAAAAGTTCTAACATTGTTTCTAACTAGGTGCTGAGGAAGTAGTACATAGTGTAAATATCACAAAACATCCCAGCATCTTGTGGGCTATTCTGATGGTTTTACTTCACTCTTGTCAAAATTACTTGAGTTATGCAACTGTAGAAAATAATATAATTGTTTATTACATTCTTACTAACAATATGTCCAAATGCTAGACTATTCCAGAGTCATCTTTTGCTCTGCTTTTTTCCCTTTCTACCTTTGGTGGATTCTGCTGTATCTAGAGAAATGTATGACGCATGACGAGTTTCTTTTAGGTGGTTAAACAGCTTGTTACGAGAGGAAAAGTCTGACCCACACGTGCTGCACTTTGTGGAACTCTGTAACAGAAAAGTAACTAACATTTACACCCTATTCTCACTCGATTATCAAACATTCTTAAATCAACACATCTTGCATTTGAAATGCTGTTATTTTTATGTGATTTTGTTACTCGAGAAGTCGCATACTGAGAACAGAAATACTTACTGTTCTAACACATCATATAACTTATTAAAATATCCAACAACAACTTCACACTTCTCTATCAAACATGTTATTTAAAATATCCAACAACAACTTCACACTTCTCTATCAAACATGTTATTTAAAATATTTAACAACTTCACACTTCTCTATCAAACAGTTCACGTTACTTAAAATATTTAATAACTTCACACTTCTCTATCAAACAGTTCATGTTACCTAAAATATTCAACAACTTCACACTTCTCTATCAAACATGTTATTTGAAATTGTCAGAAACTTACTTTTTAGTAGTATATATTAAAGTAAGTATATGGGTGTGTTGGGCTAAGGATTCTTCTACTGTAGGTGTCTGTGACTTGTTGGCGATAGATTCGACAATAAACGAACAGCACGCACTTCACTTGTTTTTTAAAATATATATATATATATATATATTACGAACAAGTTAAATATACATACAAAATTCTTTACACTACGGCGATCGTAGTTGTATCTTATACACTATACAGTTCTCTTCTTCTTGTCAAAAGTCCACTTAAGCTTATTCAATTGCTTTAGAATTCAGCTGACAAACCAAACTATTTTTCTCTATTTTTATCACAATAGTATCTGTATATAATTTACTTACACTGCCACATGACTTACTGCAGTTGTATCCTGTACTTCCAATAATTTCGTGCTTCCAAATAATCGTCTGTTTTTCGTGAAAGTCCATACAGGTGGGTTCAATTAGCTTAGAACACCCTTTGATAAGACAAGTTATTCTTATGTCTTTCAAACTATTACTCTCACTCTAACATAACAACTGTTAGGCCTTTCACACCTATGATGGATGCATTTTATGACTTTTCTATCAATGAACTTCTCTTTCCCGTGACTTTACTTTTCTCTTTCCACTCATCTGGTTGCAGCTATTAATACATCTATTACTTAAAGCTTCAATATCAATGGATTGCAAACACAAAATTAATTAATAATAATAATACTATGTACACTAAACAGTCTTTTATATCTGACAAAAATATTCAACAACGTCACACTTCTGTATCAAAAAGTTCATATTATTTAAAATATCCAACAACTTCACACTTGTGTATCAATCAGTTCATGTTATTTAAAATATTCAACAACAAATTCACATTTCTTGTGTCTCTACAACAGGCAGTTACTGACCATTCTACGAAGTTTCATCATGAATACTCTGCCTAAACAATCTATCAAAGAATATCCAACATCTTCACACTTCTGTATCAAACAGTTGATATGTTATTCAAAATATTCTATAATAAGTTCACTTTTCTGTTTGAAACAGTTCATGTCACTTAATAAAATTTTCAATAGCAATATTGATTGTTTGTTAGTTTTTTGAATTTTGTGCAATGCTACACAAGGGCTGTATCTGTGCTAGCTGTCCCTAATTTATCAGTGAAACACTAGAGGGAAGGCAGCTAGTCATCACCACCCACTGCTAACTCTTGGGTTACTCTTTTACCAATGAATAGTGGGACTGACCATCACATTATAATGCCCCCACAGCTGAAAGGGTGAGCATGTTTGGTGGAATGGGGATTGAACCTGTGTCCCTCAGATTGCATCCAGCACCCTAACCACCTGGCCAGCAATACTGAATGAAGTTTGAATTCTTTTAGGCCTACATAGTTTAACTGTCACTTTTATACATGGTCAATAATAAACATGCAAAATGTACCATATAATAAAATTATTAATTGAATATATACAATCTTAATATACTTAACATTCTATATATAATAAAATGATTAATGGAACATGTAAAACCCCAAAACATTTACCAAATAGGATTCATAATCCTGACCAACAGCCAAACTCCAGGATTTTACAGAAAACCAAAATCACATTTGATGTTATCCCCTACCTCACAAGAAGTACAAACATTCACTCAAATCTATTAAGTTTACTTTACAGCTAGTCAATGGGAGTATTCAAGAAATAAGAAGTTAATAACAGAAGAATGTGCACACATTCCATCAGAACCTATTCTAATCTGATGTTATTCCAATGGATGTCACAACAGAAGACATGACATAGTTAATTAATGATTAGAATTACATCCACTTCTGTGGAAACGTGTAGAAATACGGGTGTATTACACCTTCACAACAGAAGACATAAAGTTAAATAATGATTAGAATTACATCCACTTCTGTGGAAACATGTAAAAATACAGGTGTATTACACCTTCACAACAGAAGACAGAGTTAATTAATGATTAGAATTTGTGGAAACTGTAGAAATACGGGTGTATTACACCTTCACAACAGAAGACATAACATAGTTAAATAATGATTAGAATTACATCCACTTCTGTGGAAACATGTAAAAATACAGGTGTATTACACCTTCACAACAGAAGACAGAGTTAATTAATGATTAGAATTACATCCACTCATGTGGAAACGTGTAGAAATATGGGTGTATTACACCTTTACAACAGAAGACAAAGTTAATTAATGATTAGAATTACATCCACTTCTGTGGAAACATAGAAATATGGGTGTATTACACCTTCACAACAGAAGACATAGTTAATTAATGATTAGAATTACATCCACTTCTGTGGAAACGTGTAGAAATACGGGTGTATTACACCTTCACAAAGTTAATTAATGATTAGAATTACAGCCGCTGGTGTAGAAATGTCTGTTAAGAGGGTACTTTAAAATTTCTGGTCAATAACACGTTATTATTGGACTACAAAATAGTTCAGATCTGAATGTATGTGATTTTGTTAACTTTAACGGAACACTCACTGTCATAACTTGGCATTTTAAATTCAATTATTCTAACACAATTACTTTTTATAATACTTGTAACCACTTTAGTACCCACTTGTTTAGACGTAGATTCTGATGTTGCTGTTTTAACCTCAACTTTCTTCTTTTTCTTCGTTTTGCTTGTAAGGTGTTTGTTTCCGCTACAGAGAAAAACACACAAGTTAATTGACGAGACCTACAGAAATGCAAACATTCAGAATTTTACTAATATTTTGATAACTTGTAATACTCGTTAAGACATTTCTGAGACAACCCTATGTGATTATATATTAACAAGTTATTTTTACATCATTTACTACACTGCCAATGTGGTCTACATGTTACATCATATTACATGATAAAAATACTTCAGTGAAATCACTCATTTTCTAAGTAAGATACATAGGGACCATCCAACAGTAGTCTGAGGGATTGATTGCAATACTGATGGTATTTTTGTTTACATTTTTCTGTGTGATTTGTATGTTACACATAACCAACAAACACAAGGACCTACAAGCAACTCGTGCATAAATAGATTTACAAAAATGTGTTTAAAAAGGTAATACAGTTCTCCATCAGTAAAAATAAGGTAAACTCTGTAGTACCAACTATTTAGATAGTAACATGTGTTATCATTCAGTACAAGATTTACTGAATCTTATTACAACAAAAAAACCTATACTTTCGGGTTAAGATGCCCTGAGAATGAACTTGGCACATCTGTAACACAAACCTTGTAGTTTCTTCCAGTTTATTATCTGTCGTTGCTTGACATTCCAGATCTGTAATATTCATCTGAATATCTTTGAGATTATTATCTGATGATAGTTGATGATAAAAATCTTCTGCAATGCTTGTTTCAGTATCTTTTGATGGCTCACCTTGGAACTCTGTTTCCAAATTCAAATGCTCTGTTGGAATTTCATCAACGTCCTCCTTAATATCTTCATCATCCTGTAAAACAACAAGTTTGGGCAACATGCTTCCCACCATTTCATTTTCTAACATACAAAATTTATGCTAATAAGATTACAGAAAATGTTGCCCAGTTTACAAAGAATAGTGAAAAACTGAAATATCAATACTTGCAAAAAATCTAGAATTATTCAAAACAATATTTTAGTTTTAAAATTCAGACATTTCATTAAAAATATACTCATATGAAATACTACTAATCAAAATATTTTCTCCTGAAAAAAAAACCATCAAGTCTTTAGTGAAACAGGAGTATGACACTATTTGATACTGATGAGTTTCTACATTTTCTGGTCTCTTGGCAAGTTTTCAAAAGAAATAAGTTCACTTTGATAAAAATTTAAAGCTAAAATGGTTATGTTAGTATGCTCTAAATGTCACACTAGACTTCTCTCCCTTCCATGTTACACTACGCTTTTTCTGTCCTCCATGTTACAGCTTTAGATGTTACACTAGCTTCTCTGTCTTCTGTATTACAGCTTTAGATATCACACTACACTTTCTCTGTCCTCCATGTTACAGCTTTAGATGTTACACTAGCTTCTCTGTCTTCCATATTACAGCTTTAGATGTTACACCAGCTTCTCTGTCCTCCATGTTACAACTTTAGATGTTACACTGGCTTTTCTGTCCTCCATGTTATAGCTTTAGATGTTACACAAGCTTCTCTGTCCTCCATGTTACAGCTTTAGATGTTACACTAGCTTCTCTGTCTTCCATATTACAGCTTTAGATGTTACACTAGCTTCTCTGTCCTCCATGTTACAGCTTTAGATGTTACACTAGCTTCTCTGTCCTCCGTATTACAGTTTAAGATATTACACTACACTTTCTCTGTCCTCCGTATTACAGCTTTAGATGTTACACTAGCTTCTCTGTCCTCCATGTTACAGCTTTAGATGTTACACTAGCTTCTCTGTCCTCCGTATTACAGTTTAAGATATTACACTACACTTTCTCTGTCCTCCATGTTACAGCTTTAGATGTTACACTAGCTTCTCTGTCCTCCGTATTACAGTTTAAGATATTACACTACACTTTCTCTGTCCTCCATGTTACAGCTTTAGATGTTACACTAGCTTCTCTGTCCTCCGTATTACAGTTTTAGATGTTACATTGACTTTTTCTGTCCTCCATGTTACAGCTTTAGATGTTACATTGACTTCTCTGTCCTCCATGTTATAACTTTGGATATCACACTACACTTTCTCTGTTCTCCATGTTACAGCTTTAGATGTTACATTGACTTCTCTGTCCTCCATGTTATAACTTTGGATATCACACTACACTTTCTCTGTTCTCCATGTTATAACTTTGGATATCACACTACACTTTCTCTGTTCTCCATGTTACATTAGACTTCTTGGTCCTGTATGTCACAGCTTTAGATGTTACACTACACTGGTCTTAGGTACCAGTGATAAATACAGTAACAACAGAACCTAAGGTTTTGGTAGATTGTTTTTTTACCAGTGATAAATACAG